GTTCTTTGTAACTGTGCTACATTATTTCTCAAGTTTCAAGAATACTACAGTAGTGTTCATTGTAATAAACTTATTTGCTGAGTTGACTAGAGAAAGAAAGTGACTATAACAATGGTTCATACTGTATGTTCCCCGAGACCGTGATAAGCGCTATTGACAACCACTGTTGCTACTCTTAGTATATTTTTATGCCTACTAAAATCTGACTTTCAATATTTTAAAAACTCAACTTCACTTCTTGTATATCTAAACATTTCAGTATTCTAAATATAAAATACAGTCATCCCCCGTATAACACGGTACTCTTATAACGCGTTTTCATATTACGCGATTACAATCCCTCGTATGGATATATGGTACGGGTATTCCCACATATAACGCGGGGATTTTCTAAGTTATATTTCTGTACTGTGAAATTTATAATGATTTGTGGAGTTTATAGTTCGATAACACCGATAAAACAAGCGCGTTTTACGAGAATACTCCTACAACGCGGAACAAATCTATCGTGTTATAGGGGGGATTACTGTACTTCAATGCGTTATTTGTTTTAAAAGGGGTACACAGGATTTTTTTTTGTTATTAATACCTATACAGATAACGTAATACATCATACACACGGCTGTCACTTCCCAAACTTTAAAACTCTTTCTCTGTTGTCCTCTATTCGCTCAAGGTTTGTACATGACATTTCCTTGTATGTGTTCAGTGTGTACAATAAAGAATAAATAAATAAAATAAACATATACATATACTAAATACCTACATTATATTATTCTGTCTTCCTGTTGATCTAGAGGTCAGTGCACTTTCAATCAACAGGCAGCAGTCACATCAACTATTGTATCATGTATTCTTAATCCTTAAGAAGGAAAACTTGTCACAAACCCTTTTTTTTTTTTTTTTTTAACGTTTGGAAATCCCCTCGGACCGTCACCCCTCCGGGGTTTGCGGCGGGTGGTGTGTCGGACTCGGACGGACTAAAACCACACGGTGTGCCACTCTGCGCCTGTAACAGGAGGGATCCGGGAACAGCTGTTGTTAAGACATCCGGACCCCTCCTAGCGCCAGCCCGCTCCTGGTGCGGGCTCCGTCTCAATATCTTTTTTTTCCTCTCTTTAGGCGACGTCCGGCACACGCGGACGCCGCCCCCTCGCGGCTGGCCAAACTAATGCGGGTGGAGGGGAAACCCACCCCGTCCACCCGCGGCCACACTCAGGGCGGCATGAGGCTGTGATAGGCGGGCCTCCGCCGCCCGGTTCGCCGGCGGCGGATCGGGTCCGAGTGGAGGTCGTCCTCCCGGGCCCTCTCCGCCGCCTCCTTCCGCGAGATTACTACCTCGCAGAAGGTTGCGACCGCGGTAAAACAACTGTCGCTACCGGCCATGGAGCGTACTACGGCCGGTAGCGAGAGATCCACTCCGATGACTGCAGTGAGGGCCCGGCGCTGCGCCGCCCATGCGGGGCAGACCGCCAGCGTGTGCTGGGCCGAGTCCTCACTGCAGTCGCAGTGGTGGCAGGCGGGACTCAGTTCCCTCCTAGCGACCGAGTGCAGGTACTTTCCGAAGCAACCGTGCCCGGAAAGCACCTGCGTCAGCCGGAAGGAAAGGGTCCCGTGCTGCCGCCCTGCCCACTCGGCGATGACCGGCTGGAGAGCCTCCACGGCGGCGAAGCCAGCGCGTGGAGTCTCCAGCCGGAACGACCAACGAGCCATCGTGGCTCGGCGAGCGGCTTCGCGCCACTCGCGCACATCCTCGGGCGGAGGGCGAAATCCGCTCTCCGCTCGGGAGTCAGCCACTCGCCGATAAACTTCGGCGAGCACTTCCGCCTCCAAATCCCACGGGGGAGTTCCGGCCAACGCGCATGCCACCTCCGTCGAAACGGTGGCGCGTATGGCTCTGACCGCCATTACCCTCTGAGGGCGCCAGAGGCGTACCCTATTCTGGGCGGTCAGAGCCGCCGCCCACACCGGTGCACCGTACAGTGCCATTGACCGGACAACCCCCGTGTACAGCCGTCTTGTCGCGACGCTGGGTCCACCCATATTGGGCAAAAGTCGCCCTAGGGCAGACGCAGCGCCGACCAGCTTTGGAGCAAGCTGTCGGAAGTGCTGGTCGAAGAGCCACCTCCCGTCGAGGATCAGGCCCAGATATTTCATCTGGGCCCGAACCGGTACGAGGACCGAGTTGACCACGATTGAGGCGCCAGGGGGTGGACCACGACGGGGCCCATGAAATAACAGGGCCTCCGTCTTATCTAGGGCTACCCGTAAGCCCAGCGGCGCCTCAATGCGCCCGACCACCAGGGAGACTCCCCCTGTGGCCAGGCGCGCCGCCTCTTGGAAGTTTGCCCCCCGGGCTGTCACCAGGGTATCGTCTGCGTAACAGATTACATCCAGCCCGGGGGGGAAATCGGCGCGAAGGGCCCAGTCGTACCCTATGTTCCACAAGAGGGGTCCAAGAACAGACCCCTGTGGAACACCGCACGACATGGGCCGACTCCTCAAATTACCTTCTCGGTCCTCGTACACGACGGTACGCTCCTCTAAATAGTCTGCCACTAGCCGCCTCAGGTACTTTGGCACCCCATGATAGTGGAGTGCTTCCCTGATGCAGCTGAATGGCAGACTATTGAATGCGTTGGCGATGTCTAATGACACCGCCAACAGCACGCCGCCACAGCTCACGGCCTCTTCGGTCACGGCCCTCAGGCACAACACGGCGTCGACTGTCGAACGCCCCGCCCGAAAACCAAATTGGGCGTCCGACAGATCGGGGCCCACCTCGCAGAGGTGCCGGACGATGCGGGCAGAAAGAACCCTCTCAAACAATTTGCCCGCCTCGTCCAGCAGCACGATGGGCCTATAGGCCGCGACCGAATCGGCAGGCCGTCCCGGCTTCCTCAATAGGACCAGCTTCCCGCTCTTCCAGCACTCAGGGAAGCGTCCCGACGCCAAGCTAGCGTCGAACACCTCCCCGAGGCGGTCTGCCATGTGGTTGAGGGCCAGGGCCAGCACTCGGGCCGGTACCCCGTCTGGCCCAGGGGCGGTGTTCTTGGAACGGATCCGTAGAACAGCCGCCCCTACCTCCGAATCCCGGACGGGCGGAACATTATCCTCCCCGTGCTCCCCGTCGTCTCCGGCCAAGGAGGCCATCGCCGGGGGAGTGTGTTCCGCTCGTTGTGGGAAAAGGCCCTCAACCACTTCTCGCAGGAAGCTGGGCTGGAGAGTCTCCGTAAGGGGGCCCGACGCGCGGAGCTTTTGTCGCACCGCGCGGTAAGGGCGACCCCAGGGGTCACGATTAAGACCCTCCAGCATCTCCTGTCTCTTTTCTTCTTTGGCGCGGCTAATGGCCAGCTTCAGAGTTTTCCGCGCCTGTCGGTACTCCTCATGAAGCCGGTCCTCCTCACCGTCTCCACGGTGACGTCGCCGACTGCTCGTGTAGGACCTCCGGGCACGTGTACAGGCCGCACGGAGGTCCGCCAGCTCCTGGGAAAACCCTATAACAACCCGTCTGGCCAAAGCCTCCTTTCTAAGGAGAGGTCTATGTCCAGCAGTGGACTATTAAAGGCTGTTGATAATGATGATTCTTAATCCGTCGCTACAATGTGCGTTGCCCAGCGGAAAAAGTTCGAATTTTTTAATTTGAGATTCACCGATATTTGGTGTAATGACGTCGTGTAATTGTGTATGGTAAGTAAAAATTTGTGCATCCAACCATTGGGGAGTTTTTCACGAAAAAGTTGTCTTTGTTTCATGTATGTTTGTAAAGTCCCCTGAGACACAGGCTATTCCTAGTGTGGGAGTTGCCTTTTTTTTTTTATTATAATATATAAATTATATTAAATATAATATATGATAATTTATATTTATCAGCAGTCAGGTTACTATAGCACAAGCTTTGCCCAGTTTAGGATCAAAAAGCCGTGTGTAAGATTTGTCAAATTATTATTAGCATTATCTTGGGATAAATTGCACCTAGACACAGAACGGATTAAGACTGCGGAGTGTCACCACCCCTATTCAGCCCAGGGGTGTCGTAAAAGCCGACTAAGGGAGCAAACTCTGCAGGACAACAGCATTGCAAAGAGAAGAAAAACTTGAAACAAACCCTATACCAACTTCCTTCTAAAGAGAGGCCTATGTCCAGCAGTGGACTATTAAAGGCTGTTGACGAGACACAGAACGAATGACTGCTTAACACACAATTGTTAAATTGTAGTCAAGCCCAATAAACAGCCTATCAATAGTTTCAGAATGCCAGCGATATTTTCAAAGAACTGTATTCTGAAGGGCGACTTAGACTCCTATTGTCTCGTCTGCTCCACCCACCTGCCTGGAGACGAGGATGTCCTGGCACACATACAAAACTCGAATCACAAAGCCAGCTTGACCCCTGTTGCCTACTATGAGAAGTTCAAAAATGATTTCATTAGAAAGGTTTGTATCACATTAATAAATTGTTCTCTCAAACAATTTAGTTATTCGTTGTAAATACCACATGCGGAGAATCGTGTTTCGGTAAATTTGGGCCGGCTCAAGTGGAGTGATACCGCGGCCTCATAGTACACCGGTGTTAATCAATGATATTTTAAGGAAGATACGTTATATTAGTGCTGCACGCACAAAATATTTGTTCTGTAACCGTACATACATCTATTAATGCATTTTAGAACAAAACATACACTTGTGGTATGATATTCCTTTAGCTTTATTTACCTTTTTGTCGTAATTTGTGCACTTTTGAAATGCACGCATTTTATGAATTTTCTCGAATTAATTAGTAGTGGTCCCAATTACGACCCTCACCTTTTGTGCGTTGGTGGCGTATCTTCTTGTTTATAATATCATTGTTGTTAAGCAATTCAGCAATAGAAAAACACATTCAACTGTTTCACTTTCACACAACCGGATCCTTGGGATGAGATGGGGAAATAGAAATTTAAAAAAAGACCCCTTCCTTGTCGTACCTTAGATTGGATTGTCATTCGGGGGTGTAAGCAATGAGGCGAGCAGGTCGGAGGGGTAATGTAACTCTTAAGTTCTCCGTAAGTTCTTTCGTATATAGAAACTTTGAATATAATTCATCTCTAGTTCAAGTTGTGTCTTCGTATTTGCAGGTGAAAGGTGTTTACTTCTGCGAAGTGTGTAACAAAACGTTTGCCACCGCTGCTAAAGTGGGTATACATGTGACAGAAGAAACACACATTAAAGGAAGGAGGGGACGACTGACGCGTGTGGGGACCTCTGTAGTTTTCCAAAAGAACACACTGATAGAAGAAAGCTCGTGGAACGGCCTCGTGGAGGACGCTTGTGTTCTTTGCAATATTGAGTTTGACGATTATTCCACTCATATATCTGAGCACAGTCATATTTTGAACGTTGTCAGAAGTACAGCGATAATCGACAGTGACAACAACATCTACAGAAAAGTAAGTGTCGTTCCAAAACTTGGATGAATATCTTATTTTATATAAGACTAGCTTGTACCCGCGACTTCGTTCGCGTGGAAATTAAAAAGCGCTGCCTTAGTGGGTTCGATGGCCAGACCGGACAAAATTTTAAAGGTTCTTCTAAGAGGAAAAATAGCCTAAGTCATTCCTTATGTAGATACTACCTGGTAATAAAATATTATCGAAATCGGTCCAGCCGTTTAGAAGATTACCCGGAACAAACAGACAGACAGACAAAAAAAATTAACTGGTTTTTAGGCCTAGGTATCGTGCAAATAACCGTGTGAGCATGAAAAAAACCTATAATTTTGACATTACAAACAGACATTTCAATTTTATTTATTTGTATAGATTTTTTTTAAGTTGTAAAAAGACAACTCTCGCACTAGGAACAAATTCTGTGACGTGGGGAACTTTAAAAACGTTCATGACACGGAGACAAAGAACACCCAGACTGAAAGAATTTGTGGATCACACAAAGTTATGTAACATGTGGGGATCGACCCCACAACATTCAGCGCAGTAAAAAGCGACGAGGTGACCGCTTAAACCACTACGCCACCAGTGCAGATAGGTGGTGAAATCACTTCGTAAATGCCCATTAAATTTTTAACGTGTATATTTTGTGTGTATACGTAATAATTGTAATCATCATCATCATCAACAGCCTTTAATAGTCCACTGCTGGACATAGGCCTCTCCTTACAAAGGAGGTTTTGGCCTACTATACCACGCTGGCCAGACGGGTGGGTATAGGGTTTGCGTCAAGCTTTCCTCTCTTTGCAGTGCTGTTGTCTTGCTTAGTTTGCTCCCTTAGTCGGCTCTTACGACACCCACGGGATGAATAGGGGTGGTGACACTCCGTATTCTTAATCCGTCACCACACGGACCATATAATAATTGTAAGGTATGGTTTAAAAGAAGATATAGTGACAAGAATTGAGAAAGGGATCCTGCGATGGTCCTGCGCGACTAAGAGTTTATAAGGCCCTTGTGAGTGGGCAGGCACCGTAAGACATACACAGATCAAATCTGCAGTGCACTGAAGAAGGGCCTTGTTAATAGCACCAGCAACTGGCGAGCGTGTATGAAAGGCGTGATGATATCAGGATCGTGGAAATTATAGCGTTCTATCATCTCAGCCTACCACTTTTCTTTTTTTTTCTGTGCGGAAATCCCCTCGGATACCAACCACCGGTGGCTATGTCGGACTCAAACCGACTAAAAACCGCACTTCGTACCAGTAGCCGCAAACGTCTCGGGTACCAGTAGCCGGAGAACCAGGTGTACCATAGAAAGTTAATCCCTGGTATATCTCTGCCCACCCCTGACAGGATTGAGGCGTGAGTGTATGTACTTCATTACCAGCTATTGCCCGCGTATTTATTAAATTTGGTATAGAGATAGTCCGAGTTCCGGGAAAGGACATAGGGTAGTTTTTATCCCAGAAACCTTCCTTTAAGGGGGTGAAAAGGGGGATTGAAGTTTGTAAGGGGGATCAATAACCGCTGAACCGATTTAGATGAAATTTGGAGATACTTTGACTCTCTAGGAAAGATATAAGCTACTTTGTAAACGGTAACCGACATTTACGCGGGCGGAGTCGCTATCAAAAGTGTGGTATAGTAGGCCAAAACCTCCTTCCTAAGGAGAGGCCTATGTCCAGCAGTGGACTATTAAAAGCTGTTGATGATGATGATGATGATAGTGAAAATTGGTCCCAAGGTTTGGTCCCAATTGGTCCTAGTTTAGTTTAGATATAAAACATAAAATAAAATACCTTCATCCATAAATTATTATAAAATGCTGAAAAAGTGCAAATATAGCCAAAACGTCGGACTACGACCATTTTCATCAGTTTACGACCACTATTTTAATAAAATAAATATACGTCAATAAAATAATTATAATTGATTTTGTTCTTAATATTGCCTTTTAGTGTAGTATAATTATGGAAATAATAATTGTTAACAAAAATAATATGGTATTTTTTGGTGTAGTGTTTGTCTTATATTTATTTATATTGTCCAAATTAAATTTGGGTTTTTTGGTTTCAGTGATGCAAGAACCGGGTTAGTCGCGGTATAAAACATATTTATAAGTATTTTTTTACTGATGCCAAACAACAGAGCAGGGCCTCAATTCTGCTATTTTATGTTTACGCCAAGCCAGTGTCAAACCACTGACACGCTATTGAGTTGCCATCGAGTAGCCATTGGCATCGGTATAAATATCGGTAGTTGAAAATATATTACGTTTTTTGAGGAAATGATTTATTTCTTTTTATTATATTAAATTATTAAAAGAAATAAATAAATTAAAATAACTTATTAAAAAATAAAATTAGAAAAAGAAATAAATAAATTAAAATAAATTATTAAAGAATAAAATATAAAAATTATACAAAAAGAACTAAATAAATTATTTTAATAAAAATAAAAATATAAAATCATTTCCTCAAAAAACGTAATATATTTTCAACTACCGATATTTATACCGGCACACCGTGTGGTTTTAGTCTGATCGATTCCGACACACCACCTCGCTGTAAACACCAGCGGGATGAGGGTCGGGGAGGGTTTCCACACGTAAAAATTACCATACGTACAATCTCATATTAGTATTTAATAATAAAAATTTCACACTTCTTACACACGGCAGTCTGATCCCAAACTAGTCAGAGCCTGTACTATGGTAACCAGACTCCTGATAAACATATATATTTCTAAATACATACATAATATAGATAAATTACACCCAGACACAAACACATAACATTATTTGTCCTGGGTGGGAATCGAACCCACGACCTTCGGCTTAGCAGTCAGGGTCACTAACCACTAGACCAACAGGCCCGTCAATTTATTTCCTACCGGCAATCCCAGTGACTTCGATTTTGGAAATATTCAATATCAGTTCTTGAATAAATGAATTATTAATAAAGTTTTATTAAATTATTCCAGGTGGAAGGTGGATATCACTGCCTAACCTGTAACGTAATTGTTTCTGAAAACTGTATTATAGAACACTTGAAGTCAGCTGAGCATAATAGTGCTATTGTTAAAAAGGACTTAAGTCAATATACTCACAGTAATGAAATCAACGCAGAAGAAAAGGTACAAAAGAATAAAATCAAAAAAGAGGGCAATAGTGACCTTGTGAAAGAGAAGCCTGAGACAAAAACATTGACGAGTAAGTAACGTTTGGTTTATAATAGGAAGAGGTGCTAAGGTTCATACTTTTAAAGAAATGCGTTACAATTAAGGTAACGCGAGCGCCGCGTAGTGCAATTTCATTAACTATCTACCCTCATCTTAAAAAATATCAAATTGACACGCTGCTACGTCACCGTGTTACGCTGGTTTGCCCCCTATATCGTAAAAAAATTACTTGTTTCTTTTAAATTCAAAATAATAATAAATAAATCATACTAGGCATCTCACACAACCATTTGATCCCAAAGAGCTTATTGTAAAATAACCATACAGCTGATAAACATACTTATAAATTTCTAAACTCACAAATATTATGGATAAATTACACCCAGACACAGAATAAATAATCGTGCTCATTAAGTAAAATTATAATCAGCAAAATTTTGTCGTGTTATATGCCTCTGTCCACCGCTTTAGGAATATAGGTGTGAGTGTATTTATGTATGTACAATTGATTTTAGGCAAAAAATCTAGTCCTGATGAAAACAAATTAAGCTCAGGGCCTCTACTGATGAAAGAGAAGCCGGTTTCTTCGAAGTCTATAACTCAAGAAATGGAAACCTTCGCGAAGCATCACGGCTTGTCTGTTAATAAGTTTAATCATACAGTTTATTGTAGATTATGTAGTTCACAAGTTCCTGCCACCATGAACTGTGTGAAAGAACACGTATTAGGAAAGAAGCACAAGGATAACTCTCTGAAACATTCCTCCTCCAGTCAACGCAACAAAAAAAATATTAAAAAAATAAATATGAAAGACTTCATAACAAGAGTTAGTCGATTTGAAAATTTGGAAGGCATGTTTATAATTATTAACGAACAATTTTATCTTAAATCTGGAGATTTTTTCGGAGTATCATTATTTTCTGGTAAACTCGTTTGTCAGTTTTGTCATATAGATCTAAACGAAGAAAATTTAGAGGCACACATAAAGTCTACACTACATAAAAATCTACTGGAAAATAGTTTTGTTATTACTTCATTGGAAGACGAGTTTGTAAGACAGGTAATAAATCAATCTTAATTTATTCATTTGGACTACAAAGTAACACATGAAGGTCTGCAAAAAAAAAAGTCAATTCTAGTGATAAACATCACACACATCACACATCAGCAGCCTTTAATAGTCCACTGCTGGACATAGGCCTCTCCTTAGAAAGAAGGTTTTGGCCTACTATACCACGCTGGCCAGACGGGTTGGTATAGGGTTTGTGTCAAGTTTTCCTTCTTTTTGCAGTGCTGGTGTCCTGCGTTGTTTTGCGCCCTTAGTCGGCTCTTACGACACCCACGGGATGAATAGGGGTAGTGACATTCCGTATTCTAAACATTCGATTAAAATTCAGTTCCGATTTACTCTCGATCTCACAAACTACATACAAGGTATTCTCGTAGTAAAATATTCAACATCAACTTCGACTGTTATGTCATTAAGTATATCGTAGTAAACGTGAATTAATTGAATCGTGTTCTCATCTCAGTTAATACGTCAAGTTCGACATTTCTATGAGATTGAACAACAGTAGACTGCCGAAAAGTATTTTTATCAGCAGACTATTTATTTTCAGTCAATTCATAATTCAGTCTCAATTCAATCACTTTTCGTTCTATGATTTAAAATTACGAGTATTGGCCTTTAACTCAGCTTTCTCGATAATTGTATAGTATTATATTCCGAATTTAGCTTATCACCGGAATATAGAACACCGGTGTTAAGAAATTCTTAGTGGGGTTACCGGAGTTAAAATACGGACCAGAGCGTATACCTATATATATTTTTACCTGCGGCAACGCTCAAGTTCATGTTGTTTTGTTACGAAATTTGCCGGGATAAAGGTTTTTAGACTATTCCAGACTTAAATCTATTTCTGTGCTTAATTTCATCCGATCACGTCCAGCTATTCTGGCATGATTGAATAACATAATAATATCTCTATCCAAACTTTTTCATTAATGATTGTAAATAATGATTTATAAATAAATTATTGGTTTGGTTTATATTTGGTATAGTAAAACATCATTTAAAAAATAAATATGATTATAAAAAGTTGATGCTAAAATTTATTATAATATATTTTTTAATAAAAAAATGTCATAAATTTTAGGTGAAGTCTGATTTGTACCACTGTGGCTATTGTGGTGTTGTGGAGAGCGACTTTGACGAGATGTTGGATCACCTGGCCACCACTCGACACAAGATGTGCAGGGCTGAAAGTGAAAAGATTCTACAACGTTTGAAGATGGAAGAATTCATTAGATTTCATAATTTTATGGCGTTTTTAGCTCACTTTTAAACTTCTTTATTTTTAATTTCTCCCTTCTATTATTTTTAGCTATCCAACTAATTCTAAATATTTGAATTTTTCTACATTTTTTCTATTCTTACTTTATTAGCTAACTAGTTGACGCCAATTCTGAATTTGCTAATTCAAACTTTTGTCTTATAGGTACCTAACTATTTAAAACCGCCTCGGTCAACGATCTTTGTATTTATTTAATCAACTTACAAGTTGGGTATTTTCTGTAAACTTCCGTTTCCTCGTTAATCGTATCAAAATAAATGTTCAATCGTAGATCTAAATATTGTATGATAAAAATACATTTATTTAAAAGAAATTAACATAAGATGCTACAAATGTAGAACCAGTAAAAAAAAAAAATATTGATGGCCTATCAAAGTACTACACAATCTAATGTGTATCTAATTATCGCCTTGAGGGGCTCGTTTGAAATGAACGATCTTAGTACGTCACACTGAGACGTGTGACCTATTGAGTGAAATTAGGCTGTTTTTATGAATAAGAAACATCTGACGCTATTAATAGTTTTGTTAATCATTAGTAATTATTTTTAATCTACGTAACATTAAGTTTATATTATGTAAAAGTTCTTAAAAATAAATCATATTTTAAACAAGTTGTTTGACACAAGTGATGCAAAAAGTATGGTTATATTTTTTGTTAATACATAAAGTCACAAATATTTCGAAGTATTCGTCTTTCACCAGGACTTCTATATGACCTTACCCTAACATATGACCATAAATTTTTGGAACACTATGTTTATTTATACTTATACCTCGGGGCCGGGGTCAGGGAAAAGAGAAAAATGCAGAGGGGCGGTCCACTGCCAAAAATAAAAGACGGCTGAGATAGTTTATATTTTTCAAACACAGTAACCGTTAAGACGTGTGCGTTACCCCAGCAAAATAATGTCGAAAATGGTAATTTAAACGTTATAGATAATTAGTTGCTCCCCTTCTGTAATTGTTAAGCACATTTTTAAATTTGTTTCTCTCAAACTTTTTTAGTTATTTCAAAAAAACATTTCCTGCTGGGGTAACGTTTGAAACGTTACCGCAGCCAGACATTTTCTTTTTTAATTGTAATATTGAAATAAATTTTAGCTAAATAATTAGTTATCTGGACTAGGTAAATGTTACAATTTATTTGGTATTTGTATTTTCTTCGGCTGCGAAGTTATTCGAGATCCTGCTGGAGTAACGTTTGTGGGTTTGCTGGATCTCTGAAACGGGTAAGCGGATTGTAACCATCTTTTGTACATAACTTCTTAAGGATTAGTTTTAATTTGTTCGACAGTATAATAACAAAAATAATGGACCGTTTAAAAATTATTTAGGTAAGTATGAAAACACTTCAATACGTCCTAACACTTTGAATAAGACCTCTAAAGACTTACTTCAAACGTTATTCTATTGCTTGTAACTACCTTCAAATGTATACGAATTTTCGTAAGAATACTGTAAGTGACTAAAAAGTTATGATGAAATGTAGCTCTCCACGTTCACGATCACAATGTGTGCGGCCTTTTTTGGCCACCGATAAACCTGTGTGTGGATATATAAACTGAATGTTATGCCAACAATTAGTTGTTTAGTTCAGTTGTCTACCTGTAAAATTTCAGCGTCGTACATATAATAATTTACGAGATAATTAAATAAAAGTCATTAGAAGGTGCAAGACCGTGGTAACCCGACCATGTTTAGGTGGTTACATAAAAGCGATCACCCAGTACATTGTGTTGGCTTTTAAAATATGTAGGATATTATTTGCAAGTTTACTACGGATATGTAGGTACATAAGTGTTACAAAAAACTACATGTTTTTAAATAATTTTTGTTTAGGATTGTTTATTGCATAATTAGTAATCAGCCGGGAGATTAGGTATTGTTTTGAATGCTTTTGTTTTCTCGTAATGTTTAGGTGAATTGTTTATAGTTGTTCATAGAATTGGTACCTGTGTAGTATTTGTTAATTGAAGTTTAATTTTAGGGTAGGTATAGGTAATTTAAGTTTTGAAGAGTGTAACGTATGCGTTGTAAATAGGTATTTTGTAAATAGATTGGGATTTTTTCAAAGTGATAAATCGACTTAGGCTGGCATATCGCGAACAAACTCTGCAGTGCATTATTTCTGTAATAATGTTGGAGAAAATAAAATATTTGATCACAAAATCGCGGTGAGTTAAATTATAATAAAATAAATTATTTATGTAAAATTAGTAATAGTGATATACCTACAAGTTATGATCGTTTTTAATTTGTTCACCCCGAACGAAATTTCAATATTAGCATTAGTAATTAACATCCTAAGACAAGAATTCGCAATTACTTAAATTGAATCTAATTAGCATTAATTCCCATTACTAGTAATTAGGTACACACATATTGAAGAACTCCCAAGAATACGATAAATATTTGCAAAAATAGAAAGCGGAAGCGCACACGCACTTTACAAGACGTATATTATCTGCCTAAGGGTCAAGTTTAGTGCACTAGATGCAAATTGCAAACAATGAAGTATCCCTTCGCCCGTCCCCTCCCGCGTTCTAGCTAAGGATGTATTATCGGCGATTCTTGATTGACAAATATTATCTGACCAATAATTTTATCTATAAAAATGTATCACTTTCACTCGATAAATTAAATTACCGTTATTATATCAAAATATCATTCAACAACTGTTCGTTTTTAACAGAAATCAACAGTCACATAGGTATAGATAATTCTCGGTTCTCGGTATAGACCACAGAACAATATTACCGACTCTTACGAGGTATACGACTGTTGGGCGATGCAATGTTGATGCATTCTAATTTACAACTGTATTCTTCTACTATTATGGTCTATTTTAACTAATTGTAGATGACTTGTTTCTTTAAATATTTTGATGCATTCAAGTCTAAGCTATATTTACCTCAAAATAAAATACAATTACTTCAGTGTTATTTCTTTACAAAAAAAATCAAAGAAATGAAACGATTTCTTAATGGTTTAAATTTTCGATTTATTGCAGTCAGGTAAATCGTTCATACATGTATCTACATATTTATAATTTTAGCGGGCCAGTGCAGATTTTCTGTTGATTGTATCTCCGGTAGTTAAACAGACTAAAGAAATTTTAAGTAAAGAAACTAGTGCTTAAGATAAATTAGGAAAAAAGAACAAAATAAATAATAGGTAATAATAATGAATAAATATTGAATGTATTTAACACTGTACGCAACTGTACCGAAATCGTAAGGTGTATTACACTAAACATTTTAAAAGACAGCGCAATGTACTAGGAGATCGCTTTTTTGTAACCACCTAAACATGGTCGGGTTACCACGGACTTGCACCTTCTAATGACTTTTATTTAACTATTTCGTAAATTATTATATGTACGATGCCGAAATTTTACAGGTAGACAACTGAACTAAACAACTAATTGTTGGCATAACATTCAGTTTATATATCCACACACAGGTTTATCGGTGGCCAAAAAAGGCCGCACATATTGTGATCGTGAACGTGGAGAGCTACATTTCATCATAACTTTTTAGTCACTTACAGTATTCTTACGAAAATTCGTATACATTTGAAAGTAGTTACAAGCAATAGAATAACGTTTGAAGTAAGTCTTTAGAGGTCTTATTCAAAGTGTTAGGACGTATTGAAGTGTTTTCATACTTACCTAAATAATTTTTAAACGGTCCATTATTTTTGTTATTTTACTGTCGAACAAATTAAAACTAATCCTTAAGAAGTTATGTACAAAAGATGGTTACAATCCGCTTACCCGTTTCAGAGATCCAGCAAACCCACAAACGTTACTCCAGCAGGATCTCGAATAACTTCGCAGCCGAAGAAAATACAAATACCAAATAAATTGTAACATTTACCTAGTCCAGATAACTAATTATTTAGCTAAAATTTATTTCAATATTACAATTAAAAAAGAAAATGTCTGGCTGCGGTAACGTTTCAAACATTACCCCAGCAGGAAATGTTTTTTTGAAATAACTAAAAAAGTTTAAGAGAAACAAATTTAAAAATGTGCTTAACAATTACAGAAGGGGAGCAACTAATTATCTATAACGTTTAAATGACCATTTTCGACAATATTTTGCTGGGGTAACGCACACCGTTAAGACGACGCGTTGTCGATTGTAGCAGTTCTGATCTAGTTCCATATTAAGTTAGCGATCTACATTCTACACACTAAGGTCTCGGCTGCCTTATTCTGGAACAACAATCCAGCGGCTTGCGTTTACGCGGGCTACCCGACGCTGCGGCGCGTCACTCGGCTACTTGCCAACTACCCACCGGCTTCAAAGGAATAGTGACTTGAATGTGTTAGTGTTTTTCATGATTAACAATATGGAGTGGCCGAAAAAGTTATTAAAGTAATAATTCTCTATCCTTTAAAACCTTCGGGGCCTTCAAAGTTGTTGCACACGCAACATTCTTAAGTCTGCGGCCCGGCTTTTGGTGTGCAGACAGACACCTTTAGAAAATTAAAAGATTGATGATGAGATTATTTTATAATCAATCAATTCAGGTTCATTCTTGTATTCTTTAAAAATCGACACGGTGTAACGGCGTGTCCTCACTGAAATCTTTACCAATCGCAACGCCAGCTGGCCGTGGAGAGCAAGTTGATGTGAGATAAACTCGTACTGGGCTCTCTTAGTGACAGTCACCGAAATCGTGCTACGTTAAAAAAACAATGAAGAGATAAGGCTTAAAACTTTGACGAAGAGTCTCTCGGTGAATATCCAGCTCTTCAGCTCATTTTTCGATTCACATCTTCGTAAAATGGTTCTATGTTCTTTTCTACTCCTTAATAAAATAATGACAGCTTCCTTTTCAATATTTTCATTGGAAAATTTTGAAGTTCTTATGCCACATGGGATGATCTTTGTCACCTTTGTTGATGTGACAACTTGTTTACCTTTCTTTGTGGTTTTTTTCTTCTGCAACTCGAATGCACTTATTTTTAAACGCTTAAGCTCTCTTATCCCTGTCAAAGTATTGTTTACATCACCCACTCCTTTAATGTCGTACAGTACCCAGTCTTCTCTCAACAATTGTTCGTTTCCAAATTGTCTGTATACGAGTAAATCAAAGTATTTTTCTTTGGTAAATAACAATAAGTGTTTTCGTATTTCCTTCTCCACTCTGCCGAAAACTCGATCTCAGCAGAACATTATTGCGTGAATAATGTGAGTATTTTTATTTTGTCCTCCACAGCCGTCTGCGAAAAGATTGCGTCTTTTCGTCTCATTCGGTATAATCGTGAAGTTCAAAGAGCTCAAGTAATTAAGCAAAGCCGATCCTACTTCCGTTGCGTATGAAAATTATTCCGTTTTGCACGAAAACGCGCTCGCTTATTCAATTCCGTTGAAAATTAAATGTAATATACCGTTACGATCGAAACCATGAACTTTAGGTGCAATTTTAACACTGTTTTAGGCGGTGTTTATTGAAAATGGGTTAAGGCCCAAAAACTCCGGCCTGTAAAAAAAAGTATTTTGACCAGGCGTAATTATACCGTTTTGTTCGCCAGCTCCTCAATTATCATCTACGTGATACATGTTACAGTCCATAGAAAGAAACTTGAAAGTAATGCCCCTTTTATTTCACTAGATGTTGCCTATGTAAAAAAATCTCACCATTAAAGTTGTAACGAATAGAAGAACCTGACAGTGAAGCATGTCGTTGAATTTCACGATTTGAAACACTTAGCGACATCGAGTGAACATTAAGCTTAACACCTATGGGCGGACACTTATTCTTTAGGGGTTATGTTATAGGTCCATTGTTTTATATTGGTCAACTTCAACTTCAACTTTTGGTTAATGGCTTTGTGGTAGAGTGTAACCAGAATTTCGCCAATGACATGTATTTGAAAGACAAACTGTCAAAGGATTTTATGTAGAGCTGTGGTAGAGCCAAAAAATAAATAAATTGATTTATATTGGTCTGTGGCACGGAGAAAATACAAAGAGAAGATCACATAATTAACTGTGCACTGTGGTTCTAGGTAGGTCCTGACGTCATCACATTGGGCGTGGCTTAAAATTAGTATACTCAGCGTCCGTACTGTGCGCTTGTGTCGCAAAATCGCAATACGGTATTATTTTCGTGGTATTAAGAAAAGGATGAAATTTGGTATTTTATCGTGTTAACATAATTCGGATAGACGTTTTGTTGCTATGGATTGATGGATGGATTATTTTATACTTAGTGTACTGACACATTTCTAAAAAAATCTAATCGTGTTTTTTGAAATATAGTTACATCTATTCGTCACAAGATGACTAAACTTTGTGTAATTTAAACTAAAAATACAAAAATACGTAAAGGCGGCCTGTCCAAGTGGTTTTCCGCACCGCCTGCCACTGCATGCGGGTCACTGGGTTGGGCCCAAATGGGTCTGCTTGGTAACTCCAGAGTGTCAGTCCAGTGGGAGGAAGGGCGTGGTTAACGAGCTCCAGTCCATACGTCAGCCAGCACATGTCAGGGAATGAAAAAGGTTCGGTGGGGATTGCCACGGAGACGAGGTCTCGCGGCAGGGCATGTCTGTCCGGCGAGCGGCGTAAAATTCGAGCGGAGACTGATACACAAAGCAGCTCGGCCGTTGTACCACTAAAGTCAAAACGCACACTGGCGGTGTGTTTACGTTTGATGCAAATCAATACACCGCCTCCACTTTCTTTATCGGTACGTAACAGATCGTGATCACGACGGAACAATTTCGTATCTATTATCACATAACTCACAATTTAGAATGTCACTTTGTAGCCATGTTTCTGTTTTTTAAATTATCTCGTAGTTGTTTACAATCCAATAAAAATATCACAACTCTTTCATAAAATACGTGCTATTATTTTAAACTGAAAAAGTGCACTTTTACTGAGACACCTTTATTATTTGGTAGATGGAAAAAAGTCAAGTGGGCGGCGATTATCACCCCCTTTCCCCCGCAAATTACCACGCCTTGTTTCATAGGCAAATCTAATTACATCTGTTTGTATTTGCTTCGTCATCTATGGTAATTTCTAAAGCTATGTATCGCTGTATTTTGAAGTGTGTCGACTGAGCGCAGATGCCGCGCGCGGCTCCTGGGGGCCTACCATGAACTTTCCAAATAACTGCCAAATTCAGAGCAAATACTTCAAAAACTAAAAAAACTAAAAAACTCAAATACTTCGTCTTCGTCACACATCTAAAATAACGGAAAATATAATGAAATTTTGTTCTGAGAAAAGTCTTTAATGATGTAGCTTGAATATTCTAAGCACAAATTAACAATCACTTACATTTTTAATTCAAAATCACTCAAAACAGTTCAATAAAAGTTACTACTTTACGCCTGCGAAATATGACTGCACGGCAGTTCAGTTTTCGGATATTCAACTGTCAAATATCACTTCATGGTAACGCCAAGCCGTTGAAATCTTAATCACGTGACCACTGACCTGAGATCGCTGACTCGCCTGCTTATCATCGCGTTTATGGTACAAAATAAAGCGACCGTTCAATTTTCGACTAAAATTGGCCTGTTTTAAGAGTTCGTGGTAGGCCAACTGAACTGTCGCAGACGCACGAACACGGACAAGTCAAATCAGAACGCAAATCCAATCAGAACACGTCTTCGTCCGTGACGGGTGACGTGACGTGGGTACACTTCTCGTCAAGAAAATTATAGGTATGAAGAACTAAAACGTCACAATTCAAACTTATATTTAATTTATTAATTGCAGTAAATTCACTTACAGCTATACGACTAATTTTAATATTAAAATGTATACGATAATAAAAAAATAAGGTATAAGTTTACGTGTACGATAAAAGATGTAAATTTTTTATAAATATCACGCTTAGCATCTTCCAGGGTAGGCACAAAAGCTGGTATTTGACCTAAGCTTATATCCTTACATGCCTTACTATGATTTTTATGATTTTATTCTGAACCGGAAAAAAAGCAAAATAAGAGATATTAGTGTCTGAACTTTTGGGACCTGATGGGCAGTGACTACCGCCACCAAAGATTTAAGTGTCACAAGTGCCTTGTCACCCTTCGAAACCCCGCTCCCCAAGAATATGAAGGGGAGGGGTGAAAAACATCGAAAACATTGATTAAAAGCAGTTTTCTGGGCCGTGGTATCATCACGCCGGTCCAGTCGGATTGTTTGTGCCATGGCTCTCCCACGACATGAAATTTTTGATTATAACTGACACACTTCACATAAGGTCCCTCAGCAGTGCTATTCTCTAAGGAAACAGCTTTGCATACAGCGCTGCCACAGCGTCGAACTTCAAACCAACTTACGTTAGCTGTTTCTTTAGAGAACAGCACTGCTGATCTCCAACTAGTTTTTAACCAGACTGCTGATAAACATACATCATCATCATCATCATCAACAACCCTTAGTAGTCCACTGCTGGACATAAGCCTCTCCTTAGAAAGGAGGTTTATATTCATATTACAGATAAATTACAACCAAACATACAAGTGATCTATCGTCGATCGTGTCGTAAATCGAACTAACGACCTCTGATCAGCAGTCAAGACCTACGACTACTAAGCCAACAGGCCCGTCAATTCTATTTGTAATTTACTACAGATGATAACACAAATATGCTATGGTTTTTAAATTTGAATTGGCTGTTGTTGGTAGCGCTATTGGCAAATGCATGGCAATTTTATTATCGAGATCATTTTTCGTACACGTTAACTGTGAAGACCTATTTAAGAGCAACAAGGCAGATGTAGGTAGGTGAAGATTTGTTTATTCGTAGATAACTTCTACAGATAATAAAAATATATATATATGTTATGTCTATAATGTGACATTTAATCTTCATCCATTGCCTCCTGTTCCTTCTTCTTCTTCTTCTTTTTCTTCTTCTTGGCACTGGCTTCAGCTTCGACGGTCTGCTGGAGTTCCTCGAGAGCCTCCTTCATCACTTCGATATTCTTCTTCGGAATGTCTCCGGTTTCATAGAACTTGAGACGATCTTCGACCTGCTGGCGGAGTTTTTCTCCAAATATTGAAGATTGATTTTCTGAAAATGAAAAATAAAAAAAAAATTGTTAAGGATTTATGTTAGAAAAGTAGCATTTTAGGACAGCGAGCCAATAAGCACTTTTCAGTAGGTTAGGTTTTTTCACCCCACATCGAAGTGCGTATGTTGGTATAAAAACTATTTACGCCTCCCCAAAGAATCCCAGTAATCTCCTCATCTTACCAACGATTGTAGTGACTCTGGCGAGATTAAGGTATTTAAGTTTTTATGTAATAAAGATTTTTTGAGTAGTTTTTTTTAACGGTTAAAGTATACATATAAAGAAAAAAAAATTCTGGTTCGAAACTGGTTTCATACAAATATCATTTTTTCCTCCTACTCAACTGGTTACGAACCATCGGGGGATCCAGCCAAAGGGGTTAGGGGTTCTACAAATAATAAATGTAGCAGTTTGTTAGTACACTGTACATATTGATGTATGTGTGTGGATATTACTGCTGTGATCTAGCAACACTTATATTATCGCTAGTGGATTACAACACTAGTGATAGATCAAAGTTTGCGTTTGACTATGCTTCTTCTTCTGATTGAAACGTTTGGAGAAGAAGTGGTATGTGTAAGCAACATTTAATTTATGTAGTATTTTTTAACCTTAAATTATGTGTTTTTCAATATAACCTCACACACCTCAAATACGGCAGTCTAATTCCAAACTAGGCAGAGCCTTTGCTGTGGTGACCAGACTACTCATGAACATACTTTTGTATGTCTAAATACATACATGCTATAGATAAATTACAAATGATCGTTGATTATTTGTCCTGTTTGGGAATCGAACCCACGACTTCTGGCTTAGCAGTCAGGATCATTAACCAACTACAAATGGAGGAGGGGGGGGGGGGGCTCTAGAGGCGGCGGTAATCGCTAACCATAAGGTGATCCGGGTGCTCGTTTGTCTTCCATGCCAAAACAAAATTATGATTCGACTTTTCTTTATACACCTATTTTTTTTTTTTTTTTAAAGACAACTCCCGCATTAGGGAAATATCCTGTGTCGCGGGGGACTTTACAAACATACATGAAACGGACACAAAGAACACCCAGACTCAGAACAACAATTTGTGGATCACACAAAGTGTCGTCCCATGTGGGGTTTGAACCCACAACACTCGACGTAGTAGGAAGCGGCGTGGCGACCGCTTAAACCACTAGGCCATCCGTGCACTCAAAAGATTATTAAAAGATTACCACCTCTTAAAAGTTAAAATTATTCCAGTCCAACCTGATGTCGTCTATAAGAAATTGCTCTAACCGATAAGACCCTTTGTACATTACAGTTGATGTACATTTTATATTCCTAATTCCTACTGCGCTGTGTTGTGGCTTAGATCCCCACATGGGCCACCACTTTGTGTGATCCACAAATTGCTGTTCTGAGTCTTTCTATTCTTCGTGTCCATTTTCAAATGTAAGTAAAGTTCCCGACACAGGACATATTCCCATAACCTTGGTTTACAAGTATTAACTATCAAACTATCTACTCAATTTTACACACTGAATGATGACAATAGCCATTTATACAAATGGCCATTGTGGTCTGAACTTATGATATCACAGTGTTGCATTAAAAAGTAATTCAAGCACTCTTACCGGAGAAGCAATCGATCCTGGACGCTATTGAGCACTTGTTAGCCAGGTACCGGCTGATGCGGCCCTTGTTCTTCAGTCCAGCTCGGCCGATGAACGTAGAGTGGTATAGAAGACCGTACTTGGGCGTATTCGAGCGAGTCTTAAGAGCTCGGAACAGCGCTTTTTCAGCACCTACAAAATTATATTACAAATAATTATAATAAAAAGCCTAGATGTGATGGAAATGCAGGATTTAAACAGTAGTCTTAATTAATCGCACGGATGGTGTAGTGATAAGCAGTCACTTTGTTTCTTCCTACTGAGTGTTGTGGGTTCGATCCCCACATGGGACCGCGCTTTGTGTGATAGACAATATTTTGTTCTGAGTCTGGCTGTTCTTTGTGTCCATTTCATGCATGTTTGTATAGTCCCCCGCAACATTATAACATCCTATATTTCTAGTGCAGGAGTTGTCTTTTAAAAAGAAAAGAATATAGGCAGTGTAGTTACTATACAGGTATTGTCTCGTTGGATGTCCATGTATAGGATGTGTCAATTTATTACTATTTTATCACAACTTTTACCATACATATAAAAACAGTTCTCTCTCTTTGGAGATAAAACAGTTTTGTATAACAATCAAAGGTTGTTATTCAATTTTTTTATATGGTATAAGATTGCAAAACGAGCAGACGGGTCACCTGGTGGTAAGCAACTACCGCCGCCCATGGACACCTGCAACTCAAGTCACAAGTGCGTTACTGCCCTAACCTCACTCACTCAGTGAAAAGAACTGCTTAACACCGGTTTTCTGTAAGGCCTCATCACTCCGGTCGAGCCGGCCCATTCGTGCCGAAGCATGGCTCTGCCACGGTTACTTAAGAAAGAGGTTGACTGTAGCAGTTTTTCATACACAATACATAATAAACGAATGTGTGTGGATATTACTGCTTTAATTTAGCACTACATTTATTACTGCTACTGAAGAAGAACACTAGCGGTAGATCAAAGTGTGCTTAAAAAATTGTAGAAAATGTTCACAGGTTGCTTGTTTGCCTCCTTGCTAGTACACACTGAAAATGTTAGTGTTGTTAATACATATAAGTTAACACTAGTTGCTACCCATCATACACATATAAGCAAATTCAATTCAATTAAATAAAAAAGTTAAGTACTCTAAAGTCAATGGACAAAAGATATGACATTAAAGCAATTCATTTTTAAAAAAAAAAACATTATAACTGCTTTTTGTCCTATACAGAGGTATTTTTTCAAATTTCGAATGCGGTCAACAAGAAGTATGCCTCTAAAAAACAGTATTTTAAAGAGTAGAGTCCTCAGGTAACAAATAAAAGAAACACAAAACCGAGAAGTCATTTTAATAAATACAGAGGTATAAATGGTACATACCTAAAATCTGCAGTGTAGAGGCGGGGTACTTGGCCAGGCTGGTGAGCGAGCCAGCTTTAGAGATGAGCCTGGCTCCCACCTGGTCGCCAACCAATGTGGTCAAGTTCGGTGCCACCGACTGCATCTTCGTGTGAAGGTACTCTGATATTTGCTTTCTGCCAGTGAAGACGAGGTATTTAAGTAATGCATTCTATTACAATGATGCGGATACAATCAACTCTCTATACAAATATTTGTATTAGTGACTAGATGGTACCCGCGACTTCGTTCGCGTGGAATTTCGAGACTGCAGTCCAGGGTTCGATTCCCGGACCGAGCATTTCGTAGGGTTTTGCTGAGGAAAAATAAGCCTAAGTTACTCTTTATATAGACAGCTACCTGGTAGTAAAATATTATCAAAATCGGTCCTGCCGTTTTGAAGATTACCCGAACCAAACAGCATGAAAAAAAGCTATTATTTTGACATTACAAATAGACACTTCAATTTTATTTATTTATATGGATGTAATAGCCGGGGATACATATACGATCACGTGTCTAGATCGGCGTTTGCGAATAGGGTTTAGACCCCATTTCTACCTCGGGTATCCTGCGAGTACATGTAGGAATATTACTTCACTCACTTGGATATATGCAAGTTGTTTTGTGAATGTTTTATGTATCAATGTTTATTTGTTGAAATCTTCTAGAAATTTATTTGTAAAAATGACTAAAGTTCTACGTTTTTGAAAATTAATAAATACTAAAAAACATAATATAAGATATCAATGGCAAAAAGCGGAAATGTCGTAGTGAAAATTGTATAATGTAAAACTTACTGATAGCCTATGTCTTGTCTTTCTATGATGAAAAAAGATAATGATACGGCATTACTTATTGTCTAGTTATGCTAATTGTCATACAAAAACTTTACAAGTTATTAATTTCTTAAATAGTTTTTGGCCTGTGGTGTTAAATTGGATATCCCGAGAAACGTTAAAATGGCTTTCTGCCTTCAATATGTATTTTATAAATATAAACAAATATATAGTACAATTTTACTAAATGCTTCTTATAAAAAGACAACTCCCCCATTAGGAATATATCCTGTGTCGCGGGGGACTTTACAAACGTACATGAAATGGACACAAAGAACACCCAGACTCAGAACAACATATTATGGATCACACAGTGTCGTGCCATGTGGGGATCGGACCCACAACACCCAGTGTAGTACTGAGCGGCGTGGCAACCACTTAAACCACTACGCCATCCGTGCAGTCGAATTTGTTTATTTGTTACGCTTTCACACCTAACCCACTAAACCAATTTTGAAAATTCTTCAAAAATCAGCAAGTAACACAAGCTTTTTTTACTGCGATAACCGACATAAATGCAGGAGCCGCAGGCAAAACTAGTATATAGTGTAAGTTTACCTGTAATTACTGAGTGCCACTACTCTTCCAGCAAACATCTGTATATTAATCAGGTCAACGGGAGATATATCCATGCCCATAGACATTTTAGAAGCGTCAATGATAGCTTGAGCCTTCTCAGAGTCACCTAGAATTGCTGTGAGAGGCTCTACGGACTCTTCGCTGAGGGTCTTCCGGTCTTTGATAAACTCGGCACACTTTGTGTATAAATGGTTTTCAGGAACAATGTTGATCAGCTCTGGGAAGTGGTAGGAGTACCATTCTCTGTAGGTTTATAAAATATAAAGTAAATAAATTGTACCAATATTACCACACTTGATGAACTTTATCTAGTATGTTATAAATGCCCAACATAAGGTAAAACTACAAAAAATACAAGAATTTGTATGAGAAGTTTAATGATAATACTTTTAAAAAGTATTGCCAACTTCCATGCGCCTATATCATAATAAGCACCCTAAACCTAGTAGCAGCAGATATCGACTTATTTAGCTAGCTGTACACTGAGTGAGTTCACAAAGACAGTATTATATATTATATGTTACAAAACAAAAAGTTAGAGGTAATGTAAAACAAGCATTTTTGTAATTTTTGTAATAGTTACGCTATCGCATTAGGATATACCTGTAATGATAGTAGTAAGTGTGGATACTAAATAAATAAATAAATAAATAAAAGTTGTTGGAGACAGTATTTATTCCTTCATTTTCCATCCGTAGGGGTATACGGGAGGCGGGAATTTTATATATTATTTCCTCCCAAGAAATTTAAAAAAATAATGTTTTTCTAATTGGTTCATAACTGACAGTTTTGATTTTGATGTTGTTTAAAATAACTTTTGATGAAAGTATTGACCCCTACAAGTCATAGTCGTTGCGAAACTACAGTTGACCAACCGGAATATAATAGCATTAATAATATAATAATAATATTATTTTCGGACATCTGACAAAACACCATCTACTTTTAAACTAAGCAGAGCTTGTACTGTAAAAGCTAAATTGACTGATAGAATAATTAATACAAATATTAATCAGGCCTATCAAGACTTATGAATAGTTCACTAAATGCTTCGTATATTCTACTAATTTTTTTGTGAAAATTCAATCATCTATATTTCCTTACCTTATTCTCATTGAAAAAGTGTTAACATCTTTATCTAGCTGATCCAGTAGAGCTATGGACTGAATGATCATGTTATCTACTCGGTGAACATTGAACTTGACTCTTGCACGTGAGTAGGAGTGACCAAGACCAAGTTGGGCCACGCTGCATGCTTTGAGAGTCAACCCTTTGATGAGGGCATGGAAATGGTGGCGCACACCTGTTGAAGAGTAAATAATATACACATAAACCTAAACCTTGTGATAGAATATATACTTAAATAATAATAATAATAATAATAAAGCCTTTATTTCCGAAATAATTTCATGTTACATATTTTCGTGTCTTAGTAAAAAATTGAAATAAAAGTATTTAAAAAGAGTTTATAAAAGAAAGTAAAACTTATAAACTAAAACTACACTTTCATTATAAGATGTCTCTTGGTTCGGTTTGCCTTACGGCAAAGGCCTCCTCCAAGTCTCTCCATTGCATTCTGTCTGCCGCTACTCTCATCCAAAGTGGTCCTAAGGTCATTTTTAGGTCATCCTCCCATCTTATTGCTTTACGACCTCGGCTCCTAGTGCCATCCCTTGGGTACCAGACTGTCACCTGTTTGCTCCACTTTTCCTTCTTGCAGCGGAGCATATGTCCAGTCCATCTCCATTTGAGTTGATCAATACGTGATAGTATGTCAGTTAGTTTTGTTTGGCGCCTGATGTCTTTGCTTGTAACTTTGTCTATTAGTTTCAAACCTAGCATACTTCTTTCCATGCTTCTCTGACATCTTGCTAATTTGTCCCTATGACGTTTCGTCAAAGCCCAGGTTTCACAGCCGTATGTAATGCATGGTAGGATACAGGTGTCAAAAGTCTTCTTCTTGATCTTCATGCCCAGTTCTTTGCTTTTCATGATTTCTTTCAATGCCCAATACTTTTTCCACCCAGTCGCAATTCTTTTGTCTATTTCTTTGGACATTTGGTCTGTTATCGATATTATCTGGCCTAGATACACGTATTCCTCTACATATTCAAGTTTCTGTCCGTTTATGGTTATGTCTATAGGTATTGAGTTGGTCATCATTTTAGTTTTGCTTGTGTTAGTTTCTAGTCCTACTTCTCTGCTTCTATCTACTAGGGTTTGTATCATGGATTGCAGTGTCAGTGGGTCCTCTTCCAATATAACCAGGTCGTCTGCAAATCTTAGATGATTTAATCGTGCTCCGTTTATGTTTAGCCCCAGATGTCCCCATTCCATTTTTCTGAACATTTGTTCAAGCACTGCTGAAAAGAGCTTTGGTGAGAGTGGGTCACCTTGTCTGACGCCCCTATTAATCGGAAAAACATCCCCTGTAGATTCTAGCCTGATTCTAGCTTTGCTTTCACAGTAAATATTTCTGATGATATTAATGTAGGCGTTTTGAATCCCCTGCTCTTTAAGACTTTGCCACACAGATTCATGTTTAAGGCTATCGAAAGCCTTGGAATAATCTATAAAGGCCAGGTAAATGGTTTTGTTATATTCATTGTACTTTTGTATGAGCTGTTTGATTGCATGTATATGATCAATTGTATTGAAGTCTTTTCTAAACCCTGCCTGTTCCACAGGTTGATTTTCGTCAAGTGTGACTGATATTCTGTCCAGAATCACTTTAGCGAAAACTTTATATACATTTGAAATGAGAGAAATGGGTCTATAGTTTCCTATGTCGTCTTTTGGACCTTTCTTGTGTAGAAGTATTATATGAGATTCTGCCCATTGGGTTGGAATGCTGCCGGTATATAGACTCTCGTTGAAGAGCTTTGTTAGTATTGGGCTTAGGTCTTTAATTGTCCCTCTCATGAGTTCGTTTGTGATTTTATCTGGACCGGAGGCTTTTTCCATTTTTTGACTTTTTATAGATTTTTCCACTTCCGATACTAATATTTCAGGTATAACTTCTGCGTCCTCCATCATACAGTTTTGTGTACTATTAGATTCTCTATCCGGCAATTGTATTTTTGGCTGATTTGCACTGTGTTCTTTGTACAGTAAGCGGTAGTAGTTTGTTGCTATATTTTGGATTTTCCTGCGAGAAGTGGATGACATATTTTTATCTGTTAACTTTGGTATCCATTCTTTTCCCTGTTCTCGGAGTTCCTTGAGCGCTTTCCTCGTGTCCCCCGTTCTGCTAATGTGATTCTCTAGGGTTTGGATCCTTCTATATTTCCTGTCCTTCCTCATGCTTTCGCGAATCTGTTTACTAAGGTTGTTGATTTCTTTTTGGTTTTCTTTCTTATCCTTTTCCATTTTTAGATTTCTTCTGTCTTCAATTAGTTTTAAAGTTTTTTCGCTATGATGGGACTTTAGACTTTTGTTTATTTGTATTCTTGCCTGTTCCCTGAGTTTGTTTTCTATTATTTTATATTTTTTGTTTAGGTCCATGTCCGAGGTAACTACTTCCATTAGGTCTTCTGTGGTATCGTTTGGGTTACTCTTTTCTCTAATTGCTTGTAAGAAGTTCATTTGAATTGCTTTTGGTCTTGGTTTTTTTGTTGCATTTTCATTTAGACAGCTGCGTACCATACGATGATTTGTATTGAAGTTTAGGTTTTGTACTATTCCCGTATCACTAAAACACCTAACTTTATTGGTTATTATGTAATCAATTTCGTTTCTGGTCTTTCCATCTGGAGATATCCAAGTCCATTTGTTTTTGGGCTTTTTGCGGAACATGGAATTTAGAAGTGTTAAGTTTTTCTCAAGCAGGAATTCTACCAACATCTCTCCGTTTTTGCTTCTCTTCCCACTTCCGTATTTCCCTATTATATGTTCTTCCCCAGCTAGTTTAGCACCGACTTGAGCATTGAAATCACCCATGACTACTATATTGTTTGCCGAATATTTTTCAGTAACTTCACTTAGTTTATAGTAGAAATTGTCAATGTCCTTTTTTGATGCTTTTTCTGTCGGCGAGTAGACTTGGATTACTGTCCATTTTTTCGTAGGATTTTGTAAATTTATATGAATCGCGGCTATTCTATCTGATATCCCTTCAAATCCAATGATCTGGCTTTTGAGGTTTAGCTTTACCAAAAATCCTACTCCTCTTTGACCGGCGATTTCGCCTTTGTGATACATGATAAAGTTGCTTCTCTCTTCTATCCCTTCCCCCAACCTTCGCATCTCGCTTATGCCCAAAATGTCCCACTTGATGCTTTTAATAGCTAATTCTAACTCTTGCAAGCTTTCCGGTGTTCTCAAGGTTCGTGTGTTTAGCGTACATAGGTATAGACTATTTCCTTTTTGTATCGTTTTTTTAGTACTGGATTCAGTTGGCTGATTTGTTGGAGGGTGGTGGTCGACTTCCCCCACGGTGACCGGCCGGCTTGGGGGGCGATTTATTAAAGTTTTTCTTGCTATGCTATGTGTTGTTGTGTCTATATTTTATACTATACTTATATATACTTAAATACAGAATAATAATTTTCTGACATCTGACATCGACATCTTGTTTCAAAGTAAGCAGAGCTTGCACTATGAAAGCTAGATTGACTGATAGACTACTTACATATTTTTTTTGTAAATATATGTATACTATACATAGAAAACACCCAAACTCAAAACAAATATTTGCAGAACACAGTAGTCGCATACGCTACCACTGCATCGCTGTGAGTGCACAGGGCCCAGTGTGAGTTTATTTCACATCAACTCGAACTTGACAACACGGCATTCTGCTTGGGATTGGTGCAGATTTCAGTGCAGGTCAATTACCGAACATGGTCGCAATCAAATTGATATCAAATAAATTCACACAAGCCCTCTGTAGATAAACAAATCCTGACTTCAGGCATTACACAACAAAGTGTAATTTACCCTTTTTTTTTTTTTTCCGTGCGGAAATCCCCTCGGATACCACCTGTCGGTGGCATGTCGAACTCAAACCGACTAAAACCGCACGCCGTCTAGGGTACTAATAGCCGGGGAACCAGGTATACACTAGAAAAGAAGTCCCTGGTGCCCGCGCTCGCCGCCACCCCGGCCTGCTTCTGCTAGGGTGACAGATGGCCTCACCTGTCACCCCCAGGCCTGCGCTTATGGAGGACGGAGGTCGTTCTACGACCTCCGGCGCCTGAGTCGCCTGCGGTACCTGGCCCGTTCCCGGGCCTGGCAGGCCGGGAAAGTCCTAAACCTCTCCCGGTCCCGCTCCGCCGTCTCCGTCGAGAGCATAAGTGTTATTTACCCTACATATACATCACGTTTTTTCTAATTCATACAACATTACTTCCAGAAAGCTTGATAAATGGTTGGAAAAATACAACCCACTGGATTGAACAACTGTGTTAATGTTTACACATGAATTTTTACAAATCCAAGCTTTTACTAAAGATTAGTAACACAAACAAGTTTACTGCTAGTTCGTAACACATCTAATCCTGAAAGTCTTTAGATGACAACACAAGGCAACATAATGTGTTGTTATAAAAAAATACATGAAGCTGAAGCTAGCCGACGGAGCTAGCCGACGGACATAGCATGCGTAGTATATGGCACGCCCCTCAAATTGATTTTTTTTTAAATGAACAAAGGGAGCAAACAGTCATTTTCCTGAATCAAATTACTATACAATGAACCAGGGCCTTTTAAGATTAAAAAAATATATTTCAACAATCATATTAAATGAATAAACGCTGTTTATTAGCGAAAACTCGAGTTTTTCGATGGTAAATTTGTCCTAACTTTTTTCACAAAAATAGGATTGCTTTCTAATTTTGTATAGTTAATGCCTAAGTATCATACAATAATACTAAATATCTTTCACGTTGGCAGAAAAGTTATAATTTTTATTATTAAATGAGCAATCAGACACGACTTACGATAAATTGACCGATTCGACAAAAAATCTGATGTAACTCTGTTTACAACAATAGGATTGCTTCCTAATTTTTTATAGTTTATTCCTAAGAGTCGTACAATAATACTAAATAAGTTTTACGTTGGCAGAAAAGTTATAATTTTTATTATTAAATGAACAATCAGACACGACTTACGATAAATTGAACGATTCGACGAAAAATCTGATATAACTCTGTTGACAAAAATAGGATTGCTTTAAAATTGTGTATAGTTAATGCCTAAGTATCATACAATAATACCACATTACTTTTACGTTCGCAGAAAATCTATAATTTTTATTATTAAATAAACAATCAGACACGACTTACGATAAATACACCGATTTGACGAAAAACCTTATGTAACTCTGTTCACAACAATAGGATTGCTTCCTAATTTTGTATAGTTAATGCCTAAGAGTCGTAAAATAATACTAAATAAGTTTTACGTTGCAGAAAAGTTATAATTTTTATTTTTAAATGAACAATCAGACACGACTTACGATAAATTGAACGATTTGACGAAAAATCTGATATAACTCTGTTCACAACAATAGGATTGCTTTCAAATTTTGTATAGTTTATGCCTACGTATCATCCAATAATACCACATTACTTTTACATTGGCAGAAAAGTTATAATGTTTATTATTAAATGAACAATCAGACATGACTTACGATAAATTGACCGATTCGACGAAAAATCTGAAATAACTCTGTTTACAACAATAGGATTGCTTCCTAATTTTTTATAGGCTATCCCTAAGAGTCGTACAATAATACTAAATAAGTTTTACGTTGGCAGAAAAGTTATAATTTTTATTATTAAATGAACAATCAGACACGACTTACGATAAATTGAACGATTCGACGAAAAATCTGAAATAACTCTGTGCACAACAATAGGATTGCTTCCTAATTTTGTATAGTTAATGCCTAAGTATCATACAATAATACCACATTACTTTTACATTGGCAGAAAAGTTATAATTTTTATTATTAAATGAACAATCAGACACGACTTACGATAAATTGAACGATTCGACGAAAAATCTGAAATAACTCTGTGCACAACAATAGGATTGCTTCCTAATTTTGTATAGTTAATGCCTAAGTATCATACAATAATACCACATTACTTTTACATTGGCAGAAAAGTTATAATTTTTATTATTAAATGAACAATCAGACACGACTTACGATAAATTGAACGATTCGACGAAAAATCTGATATAACTCTGTTGACAAAAATAGGATTGCTTTAAAATTGTGTATAGTTAATGCCTAAGTATCATACAATAATATCACATTACTTTTACGTTCGCAGAAAAGCTATAATTTTTATTATTAAATAAACAATCAGACACGACTTACGATAAATACACCGATTTGACGAAAAACCTTATGTAACTCTGTTCACAACAATAGGATTGCTTCCTAATTTTGTATAGTTAATGCCTAAGTATAATACAATAATACCAAATTACTTTTACGTTGGCAGAAAAGTTATAATTTTTATTATTAAATGAACAATCAGACACGGCTTACGATAAATTGAACGATTCGACGAAAAATTTGATATAACTCTGTTCACAACAATAGGATTGCTTCCTAATTTTGTATAGTTAATGCCTAAGTATCATATAATAATACCACATTACTTTTACATTGGCAGAAAAGTTATAATTTTTATTATTAAATGAACAATCAGACATGACTTACGATAAATTGACCGAGTTGACGAAAAAACTGATTGAACTCTGTTTACAACAATAGGATTGCTTTCAAATTTTGTATAGTTAATGCCTAAGGATCATACAATAATACCACATTACTTTTACGTTGGCAGAAAAGTTATAATTTTTATTATTAAATGAATTTTAGGGGCGTGCCATATACTACGCAGGCCATGTCCGTCGGCTAGCTTCAGCTTCATAAAAAATACACTGTGTGCAAATACTTGCTTGGCACTCACCTCGCAATATCTCTGGCACAGCTCCTGTGTGTGAACATTGTATCTCTAGAGCTTCACTGATGGCAGCCCCTAACTTTGGATCCAACACTCCTAGAGTGCACTTCCCGCGTTTCTTTCTCTTAGGTAATGCCCCCTCCAGGAATAAGTTTAAGTCTTCAGGTAATATACCTGTAATATAAGAGTCAAAAGGTGTAGGTGTTATATCTCAAAAGAGTTCGATGTGTTTTTTACATTGTGGTACGGATACATTGCTGATTATTAAAATGAAAATACACCACTCTGTACACTATTCAAAGAATAAAATCAGTGTAAAAGAAAAGTTTAAATATACCATGCTTTTAAGATACTTGGATGTCACAAAAATGTTATAAATTAAATATGGAAGAAACTAAACATTAATACAATTAGGCTAATTCTCTGTAATTAACATTATTCCTTTTTGAGGAACTTATAGATAAGATGATTTAACATAAAGACAATTGATTATTTTTAAAATGTTAATTATAATTGCTTTATGAATGAAAGGTTGGGTGTCTAAAGAGAGTCCCATGGTAATTTTTAAAAACTTTTTTTCGAAAACTTGACAATAACATTACAATTTTTTTGAGAAAACATAAAAGTAAGAGCACTTTTATGTTATCTCAAGAAATTTACGTCTCATTTCCCTAGCTGAATTTTTTTTAGTGTTAGCTCCATATAAAATTGAGTAGAGATATTTCTAAGTCTCATTTCCATATAGAATCGATGAAATTTTTTAAAAGTACGGGACCCTCTTTGCGACACCCTAACCTAAAAAATTGTTCATTAAAGTTATCAGTCATGAAATGTTTAACAACATGTGGTTACTAACCTTCTGATATAGCATTGATGTTTTCTAAAGCCACAACAGCAGATTTAAATGGTTGGAAAGCGATGAGTGCCACAACAGAATTAAAACGTTGAAGATCAGTCACGGACTCCTCCACCTGAGGCAGGAACGTCGCAAGTTCCTCGAACTCAGCCACACGAAACAACGCAAAGCCCGCGCTGTGTTCGTACAATACGTAAAACTTACTCTGCAATATAAGAACTCATTTTACAACAAACATCAACACTTAATATATATATAGTAATCGTTGACACTACACACCATTTTAACTAATCACAAATACTATATTATGTTCATTATTTCATAAATCAAACACGTGAGTTTTGTTTGCTGCCGTCCACAGCTAAAGCTCATTGATAAGTGAATTTTAGGTTACTTGATTCCGTAGTACGCAACTTTTAGTTGGCAACTAAGTTCAAATTAGGAATTTCAATTTGGTTACCAGTTTGAATTTCCTTAACTTTTTTTCTACTTTTTATAGTGCCAATCTGTTTTTTTACTAGATAGCTAATTTATTTCATTTATTCATTTGTAGTAAAAGTGATAGCTCAAAAAAATCTTTCATTACTTCCGTATAATGGAGCGCGCAAAAAAATCGTTCGGAAATACTAATGATTTCATTACTACCACCAACACCAATTACCACAAGAAACAACTTTTCTTCCATAAAAAAATTTATTCAAAGAACATAATTGATTTGTGAAAATAACGGAAGGATTCCATTTCTAATATCTAAAAAAGTGTTCGATTTATAGCAAATGTCTTATTACGTGAGTGAGACTGATGTAATGAGACTGAGGTAATAAGGTGAGTTGTGAGTAATAAAGAAGTCTACTACTTGAACTAGCAGACACCTCATCTTGGTACTGAACTAACTACCGAGTACTGCCTATTACCACGGTACTATTATAATACAGTACTCCAACTTCATACAAACGGACGAAACGCGAGCTATACCTACACGCCTCGATCTCGGGGTGCGCTCGGGGCGCAGACAGTCACGGCTGTACCGCAGTGTCGAACGGACTGTGTGTTGTTTTTTTGACAATAACCGCGCGATTTTTTCTCTAAAAAACAGTTAATATGACGAGTAGGAAATATTGTGCTGTTTTTGGTTGTATGAATTCGTCAATAACGCATCCAGACATAAGTTTTTTTAAATTATCTGGAAACTCTGAAAGGTAAGACTATAAAATAATTTTACTTACTAGTAGGTAGGTACATAATGTGTGTCTTTTTAATGGATAAGTATTTCCTTTTATCTCACGAAAAAACGGTAAGTTATTGAGACGAGTGAAATAGGTAGTTATATGCGGTTCTGAATGAATCATGATACGGTACCGGGACTACAGTAAAATTAATTCGCGAACTTTTTTGATTGTACCCAACGATGATTTTGTGGAATATATAGAAAAAATGGAGGAAATATTGAGGCGCAAATATTTTTCGGTCGCAAATTTATAAGCCCGATTTGTTTTTTAAACAAAAACATGTTTTTTAAATTAAATCTACCAATCAAAAAACAACACGCATTTTTATTGAACACTTCCTATCCAATATACAAAGTATTTCATTTATTTATATAAAAAAGATATTTACAATCACAAATCTAAATAGAAACATATACTAGGCAAATATAATTAAAATGCTGGAGACGGGCAGCCCTAACGCATGTTTACGTACCGCGCGGCTGTAGGCATTTATTTCTATCATGCGGCCGAGTTACACTACTGTATTATAATTGTACCGTGCTATTACTACTGCTACTACCTACTACCTACTGCTTATTAATAGCCTCTATTTTTTTTCATTTTATTATTACATTATTTAAGTTGATAATATTATATGATTTTATAATGTGCTGGGCTATAGCTACTTCTATCAAATATTTTTTTAAACATTCTGACGAGAACGTGTGTCTTGCGCCACGCAACAAAATGCTTTTATTCTCTATGGTGTGGAGTAAATATCATCGTGATGCATCAACGGAAATTTTGACATTTCAATTTTTGAATTTACGTTTGACGTAGTGTTGTTGATGTTGTGTTGAATAATTTCATATTAAATTACTGACAAAAATGTACTTTTTATCAACTTAACTAAAACCCAAGTAGTTTGTGGATATAGTAAAGAAGCATAATAGACGCATTGCGGATATTCTAATCATGGCGACATTCTCATCTCAAAAGGATCTTGTTGCGACTTTCAAGAAGGAAACGATTTTAAACGTGGGGGCATTAAGAAAGCTGCATACTATACCATCAGAATTAAGTAAAGATATTTTCAAAGAAAATGCACTCGAGAAACCGACGCAAAATCTTTTTAATCATCTTTCATACTACTTAATGGGAATCATCGACAGTCAGGCCGCTCGTGGTCTGTCCTGGCCATTGTATGACACTAAAACCGAGCGAGCTTTTAGGAACGGCCTATCTAACATAATTAGTGATTACAGTAATAAGGGTTTGTTACCCCCAGTGATGTCATCATACTTAGTTAATCCTGGTTGCTATAAAGTCACGTTACTCATCTTCCAAATGTCTCAGCTGGCTTTGCAGAGGACTTTGCTGTCTAAAATGTGCAAAGAAAAACAGAAAAAGCTGTACAATGATATGACAGAAATGTATAAATCTGATAATAAACAAACTTTTACAGAAAATATTGAAAGGGCCACAGTAATATTGTCGAGTAAGTTCTCAAACTACATATCAAAAAGGAAAAAAATTGAAAAGATTGCTACCATTATGAGTAAGAAAATATCAGAAATGGAAACAAAATTATCTTCATTAAAAGCTCAAGTCTACATAAATGATTTAGTTGATGGTTTTCTAAAAAAATATGATGTAGATGAAATTACAAAAAAAGAAATATTGTGTATCAAAAATGTAAATAAACCATCAAAATATTTTGAGGTATGGCTCTCTGATTATGATAAAAAAATATCAGAGATAGAAAGTAGATGGGATGAGAAAATGAACCCAATTTTGAAGTTAGCTCTTGATACACAATGTTCCACGGAAATGTTAATAGCCAGGCAAACTGGTGAAGCTGATAAGAGTACGTACATGTTAGAATTTAACCCAAAAACGGATGACATTTGTACAAAAGAATTACTATGCGAAGTAAACACTGAACAGAAATATATTTTGAAGAATATTATCAGCAATGATCAGTTAAATTTTCCAAACCTTATCCGTGCGTTTCTTGTAGCAGTATCTTATATACAGAAGAATGCTGAACATAGTGATGAGATATATAAGTTTAACACGTACTTAGATACTGGACGGAGACAATTTTCTGACATAGTGACTGCTATGAAGGTGCTTTTAGAAAGAGTTATGAAAGCTGAAGCTAAATTGCCCGTGAGTATACTAAATCTTTATGTTTATTCTATTTTTAAAGCTTTACATTACTTTATTTTGGGTATTAAAAGACTTTTTCTGGCCAATGGTACACAAAATTGATATTTTGCATAAGCACCTTTGAAATGATACTCCTGTAGAGAATAATTATGGACTTTTTTGTATAATAACTATGTTTTTGTCAAGTGGATTCAGACGAGAAGTAAAAACAGTCAATAGTTTTATACAATATTGGTACATTAGGTGTATGTCTACATACACATACTTATCTGGTTTTATTAAGTTACTATAATTGAGTACAAGCAACAAAAAACAGTGCAATTTTATTTAGAGAAACTTGCTATATTGTGTACAACTATCTAATAAAAAGACAAAACACACTGGTAATTGTACAATAGATGCACAACAACAAGTGCTATTCTCAAACACTTAAGATACACACCAGTTACTTTGTTGCATGTCATACACTTACATATATCTTAATAATACAATAATGTGTATGCAAAATTACTTAGGATACTTTGAAAAGATTGCATTGCATGATATAACACTGGTCACAGTGCCTTTCTTAATTATCTCTCTTACGAATACGACTTTTTTAAGATTGATACTCTACATTAACTATAAACCTAAACATGCAAAACGGCAGTTGATAATTTATACAAAGCTTCGTTATTTTTGGGTAGTAGCGTATCCTTTACGATGTCTAATGTCGACCACCACACGGACGAAGTATCTGTCAAAAGCTGTTTTTTATAGGAATCTATTCTAATTTATCCTCATGTCTGAACTAATTAGTTTAATTTATCTCTTTCAGGAAAGGTCAGTCTCGTACAGCGAGTCAAGGTCTCTAAAAGATTTCATTGAAATACCACCATTGCCAGACCTCTCAGACCTTAAAATGGGCAAGGATTGGCAGTCTCAAAATATATTTGACACTTTTACACCACTAAATATATCTAAACACCAATTTAACTTGCAACGCAAAAGTAGAGCAATGTTTACTAAACCACAATCGCGACCTCTACTTGTCGCACCGTTCTACCAAGGACCAAGAGATGATTTCTTAAAGAGTGTTATATCATGTCGTGTCAGTTCATATAACCGTTCGAACACTACGCAGAATTTTAACATGTCATTAATATCCCAAACAAATTTTAGAAGCAATGAAACTATTGCTGAATGTTCATCAGGCTTCACAAAGCAACAGATTATGAGATTGCTGTCAACAAAGAAGTCTAGCAGTTCTAAAAAGTTCAAATACAAGACTGAAAGGCCTAATAATGCTAACATAAAAAAAGGTGGACTATTTGATGAGTCGCAACACACATCAACCGACAGTAATGGCTTGTACAGGAGCTATTCATCACCAAATCTATTTGAGAATCGTGAGAAAAAGTCCAAGATTGGTAGAAAATTATCAATAATGCAAGAAGACTGTCCTCTTTTAGAAGTTTCGGGAATATCCGCATTAGAGAAAAACAACAGTTATGGGACACCTGAAGGAGTTGTACATTTGGTAAATTCTAGAAAACTGTTTGATGCTGCAAGTTTACCTGCTATATCATTAACTCCTGTACGTGAAACTACCAATTCTAATAATAAAGGGAGCAATACTGCACTGCATAATTTTGCAGATGTAAATTTATCGAAACTACATGAAACAGTATTTGATAAAGAGGCCTCTAAGACTGAAACTCCCACAAACAATTCACAATTGATACGTAAAACTAGCTCCTTAGAAAAGATTATTAACAGATTTAAAAAAGTTAGAGCTAACGTTTTGACCTCTGCGGAAAAAGATGACGATTTTAAAACTATAGTTGAAGAGAAAGAAAACATGAATATGGTCAACATAGAAACATGCACAGCAAATAGAGTCTTATTACCTGATCTTTTGAGTCCGAGTTATAGTATATTGCCTAACGTGAAGCTTGAGACTGATGAAGTGGTGACAAGGAAACCACGAGAGAGTCTTGGTACCGCACTGGGGGTGGACCATACATTCTTGGATCAATTTGATTTAATAGATTAATTTTAGTTAGGGTAAGAAGAATATATTTTGGAATGACTAAGATCAACTCAGAGGATTCTATCGCTTCTGTATAATTTATAAGTGATCTTCTGCTGCTATGTAATGGAAATGTTAAAAAATAAGGACTTTGTGTCGTCACTTTTGTCTTAGAAAGAAGAAAATGGAAATTGGATTTTGTGTTTAAGCCAATATGGATCATATTTATTTCTATATTTTAATCCCATGTGTCATTATTATCAAAAGCTTTACAGTAGCTAGTAATGTGAAATAATAGTACTTTAGTTTTGTAGTTAATCTTTTTAAAAATAAAAAATACGAAAATTGAAATTGCATTATAATTTTTTTCCGTAGTTAACTTCACTAAAAATGACTGTTATTTTTTTTTACTTAAATGTGTAATTTACTTGCCATTATCTGCAATTTCATCTGTGTTTATTGTCACTAGTCTGCTCCTTATGGATCGTAGCGTGATAGAGTATTTACAGAGGTACAATATGGCATAGGCCTATAGAATACAAAAAGAATCATTCTAAATATGACTAGCAATTTCAGACATTATCATCAAAAAACTAACAAAAGTATAGATAGCATAAAACATATAATTAGATAGAAATGAATTATATTTAAAGATGAGAATGACATTGGGAAGATAACGGCTTTCATGTCCAGAGTTGGCTTATGAGATAATTTGATCATTTTATTGGATTACTTTTGAAGAAGGCATAAAGACTAATAATAATTTATGGTAAAAACAAAATAAATATGTGTTCATGCTAACAATAAGCCTTCATAGCCCTCATCAAGAGCTATCATCAGTAAGACTTAACACTTCAACATATTTTTTATGTAATATGGGACCAACGACCAGACGGTGATAATTCGCCTGATGATTAGTGACTGCTGCTGCCCATCGACACCTATAACTTAAGATATCTAAGTGCTTTGTCACCCTTAGTGGCTCTCCCCGATTTAGGAACGGAGGAAGGGGATTTGTACTCCGGTAACTTCATTCTCTCGGCGAAAAGTTATGTGAGTTGTTGACACCGTTTTCCTGTAAACCGTGGGTTCACTCTGGTTAAAATTAAAACAAAAAATATCTCTAACAAAACCTTTAATGTATAAAATATTGATCAGATCATTTACATACTCAAACCTAGGTAATTTGACAAGCAAACTTTTAGTATTCTAGAATTTAGTCTACCTAATACCTTCGCTGATACCATCGACAATCCCTTTTTTTGTTTCTTATCATTTTATTTTTGTTTCATATAACAAGGGATGTTACGTATATGTTTAAAGTGTATGTGTGTATCTGTCTGTTGTAGCTTCTAAACAGATGCGACGATTTGGGTTTAGTTTCATTTGTTTGAAATATAATCTGTTATTGCCATCTTTTCTAGGGATTTTTAATAGAATATTTTAAACCTATATTTGTTTAAAATTATTAAAACACTTATTCTGCCTCTTAAAAACATCTTTTCAACAATTTGTTAAAACCGTTTTGTTAAATCCCATTCTACTTAATAGGATTTAAGAAAATTTATTTTGAACATAAAAAAGCACATCAGAATCCTACATTGGTTTTCCTTGCCAGATACCGTAAACACCTAGGACCTAAGTTATTTTTTGATCTAAGTACTGCATGAAGAAAGCTTTAAACATTGATATTATTATACCCTTCTAAAGATAACTACTTTAATACATAATAATAAATAGAAGTAATTATTTATTCTCTGTAACTACATACCAAAGAAATCAATCTGTATACAATTTCAGACCTGACCTTAGGACTTCAAATAGAAATTACTTCAGTGTATCCTAACACCTAACCAAAAAAAAACATGCCTGCCATTTTTCATATTTTATGGTTTTAAATATATAACACTTTCATTAAAAGGCATAGAAAATTATTTACAGTTTGATACAGTTGATTTTAGAACAGAGATGAACCAAGCTCTTTAAATTCTGGGGTCATTCTCGTCCAACTTGACCAACCGTTCCGAAATCTCCCAAAGTTTCTTGGCCCTAATCATATCACTAGCTGCACTCGACAATGAACTCTCTCTGCAATCAGAATAATACTTTCCAGATTCTTTTTCTAATTTTTCATCAGCAGCTAACATTACGGTCGTTTGACATCCTTGACGCGGGGTCTTGAAGAAGCATTTGTTAATCAAGAAAAGACCCCAACTCAGCGGTGGCGGAACGGACTTCCAGATACCAGTATCGATTAATCCTGGATGTAGGCAGTTTACCGTGACACCTGTGCCTTCTAATCTTCGCGCCAATTCTTTAGTAAAAAGTATATTAGCCTCCTTGGATGCGTAATATACATAAGCAGGAAAAGAATCAACTGGGTTTGGATTCTCTAAGTTTACTGAAGCTAGTCGATATAAGGAAGATGCAACTACGACAACTCTGGCTGGTGCGCTTTTCTTCAGCAAGTCTACGAGAAGATGGGTAAGTAAAAACGGCCCATAATGATTAGTTTCCATTGTCATTTCAATATCATCGACAGAACGATTCTTTTTAAAAGTTTCTGCATAGCCTGCGTTATGAATTAAAACGTCAAGCCTTTCTTCTGTTTTGTTGATGTCTTCGGCAAATTCGCGGATGGAAGCGAAAGAGCTGAGGTCCAATTTCTTGACGAATACTTTCGTGTTTTTAGTTGAGTCGATGATATCATCTGTAAATTAAAAATAAACGGTTAAAAACATGTAAAATATCCTATAACTTAGCCACACATTAAATGGCTTTGCTCGTGATTCTGTCAATCATTACGGGAAACATGGGAAATTTATTTTCACTTTCAAAATAATAACAATAATTTCACAAATCTTACACACAACATACAATATTTATTAGTTACCTAGAAACATTTCAAGTGTAATTTATTATAGGTACCTTTTATTTTCGTCGCAGCTTCCACATTTCTACAAGCCATGATAACTCTAGCTCCTCTATTAGCAAGATCTCTTGCGGTCTCCTTCCCGATTCCGCTGGTGCAGCCAGTGACGATCACGGTTTTCCCGTCCATTCTGACAGGTTTGCGGAACTGCCCGCACGTGTACTGCGCGAAGAGACGCAGAGCGAACAGAGCTCCGAATAAGCCCAAAAAGGCTAGTATTGTGATAATGATGAGAACTGGCAAGACCCAATAAAGATAGCTCGCTTTCCAAGCTTCTGCCACAATCATGTCTGAAAAGAAAGAAATAAAAATTGTTTTAAGGTGCTGACTACACAACAAATTCCTTTTTTTTTCATACAGGCTAGAACGCTAACTTTGCATAAAACAAAGCATTCTTACAAAATAAACCTAATGAAAATAATTGACGACATTTTAACAACAGTGCACACATGGCCATTCGATCCCGAACCATACAGAGCCTATATTTCGGCAACCATACTGCTAATAAAGATAGGTACTTATGTACCTATAAATATATTATCTATATTAAATAAAAAAAATACCTTACTAGAGAAAAACTTATCTTTTATTTATTAAACGCTTGTATTTATATAAATTAAGCTTTCAGTAGATAGAAACTATGGGAAACATAGCACATAAAATCTACTCCTTGGAAATGAGTTTTACACACATACTAGATGTGAAAAAACTAAATATATAGGGTGTACACATAATCGGAACTCTGTAATCTCTCTAGCATGTATGTATAAATAACTGTTACAAAACACTACACCTTCAATCTGCTTTTATAATTATAATAAAATAATAATAAAATCCATAAAATCTAACTTAAAAAATTATGCTATGTTTTTTTTGTATTACCTCATTATTTTCATTTAACCCGTGACCGTGGCGCTTGCAACGGTGCCGAAATATCGGGAACTAACTCCCGAAAATAAACATTCTAATTATCCCGTTTAAAATAACTTTTGAAATTATGTATATTATGTGTTTATTTTAAGTGTGAACAACTGACAAATACACTCCTTACATTAACGAGCAGAATACCAACATTATTGACCTCTGTTACACAAAGGTAGCGACCGTAGTATTTAGGTTACGAGGAAAACTAATTAATCATATCCTAAACATACATTGTAATCAACCGATGTGGCAACACAATTGCGTCGTCGAATTAAATTAGTTACGAACACTGCAGGGGCTAATGTCAGCTGTTTCTCAACTCAATTTGGACATAAAAAGGTATTTAGGGATTAACAACGACGAGGTTCTGAATTCTGAAGATTTTGTTTTGTTTGTTACCTCAGAACTCCGTTATTTTACAACCGGTTTGTCATTTTTTTTTTATTTGGGGCGATTACCTTTGCTTTCCGTTTAGTCTCAATGTTCCAAAAACGGTGATAACTTATTCCTTTTCAGTGACGCAGTCGACCTAGACCATTATAATAGAAACTCGACCACTAAGCGATCTCTAGTTAGTTTAAATTATCATGATTCCTACACATTAGTAGAGTAAAATTTAAAACACAAGACCTAGCTTCATACAATTGCCTTGTCAATATATAATTATCATTCGTTATCGAAATGTATCTTCAAACAATAGGGTAATATCTAAGATTAAATAAATTGTTCAAAAATATTCAAGAAATTAAGTATAATAATAATAATATTCTACCACATTTACACAACGATATCTAGTACCTAACTAAGCAGAGCTTGTACAATGGGTACTAGACAACTGATATAAATACATATATACTTTTTTTTGTAAATACATACATATTATATATATAGAAACACCCAGACCAAATCAATCATTAAAAGTTCAAGCACACAAATGTTTGACTTGAGCGGGAATCGAACCCGCGACCTTTAGAATAGCAGTCCGTTACACAAACCACTACGCCATCCGCTCGTCTCGTTTCGTATGGCATAAGACAGAAAAACTATATGCTATATATAAATATATTCTAAAATTTAGCAAAAGTTAAGTAGGTATACCTCCATAACTTATTAAAATTATTATGTATAGGGCGAAGAATTAAAAAATATTAAGTAATTGATAACAGTCAAATATTAGAGACAAGTAAACTCACCGCAGTCTGCCGAAAATATTATACGACATACACCTACGCTTTACTTCACAGCGACTGTCCACTACATACGAGGGTGCGTTTTTAAGTTCGCGGAATGAGAGGGTTGGAGGGGGATGATTAGGCTCATTGGAATCAGCTCAGTTCAGTGACTCATAATTAGTATAAATACCAGGTTTCATTGTTATTAGACAATTAGTCTTTGAGTTATCGTCAACCAAGCAACATAATCGGGAGTGAAAAGTGAAACATGGAAAAAATCGAATATCGTGCCGTTATAAAGTTCCTTACCAAGCAAGGAAAATCAGTTGCGACCATAATGAATGAGATGCCATTGGTTTACGGCGACTCTTGTCCAAGAAAAACCATGGTGTACAAATGGCACAGTTTATTTAAACAAGGAAGGGAATGCTTTGAAGACGACCCGAGGCCGGGCAGGAGCATCGAGGTGATCACGCCTGAACTTATGCAAAAAGTCGAAAAAATTGTACTCGACGATGCTCGACTAAAGAAGAAACAACTCGCAGAAATGGTTGGAGTATCTGATACAACCATTTTTAGAATTCTGCATGATCATTTTGGCATGACAAAGGTCAGTGCAAGATGGGTGCCGAGAATGCTCACGCCGACGCAAAATCAACAGCGTGTAGAGTGTTCACGTGCATTTTTAGACCTTTGTAATGAAGACAAGGATGCTGTATTGAGTAGAATTGTTACTGAAGACGAAACTTGGGTTCATCATTATGAACCTGAGTCGAAACAAGACTCCATGCAGTGGCATAAAAAGGGCACAGCACCTCCCAAGAAGTTTAAGGTGTCACAGTCAGCTGGGAAACTCATGGCAACGGTCTTTTAGGATTCAGAAGGAATATTATTGATCGATTATAAAGATAAAGGTGATTCTATAACCGGAGAATACTACGCTTCAATATTAGAGCGACTCAAAGAAGCCATTAAAGAGAAAAGACGGGGAAAATTGACAAAAGGTGTGTTGCTTTTGCACGACAACGCGCCCGTCCACAAGAGCCGCGTTGCGTTGGCTGCCCTGCATAAGGTGGGCTTCGATATTTTGAATCACCCACCCTACAGCCCAGACCTGGCCCCCAGCGATTATTACCTGTTTCCAAAAATGAAAAAAGAGCTGCGGGGTAAAAAAATTACCAACGATGATGAAGTCAAGGAGGCAGTTTCGGCGTATTTTAAAGACAAAGAGAAAACATTTTTTTATGAGGGTATAAACAAATTAATTAAAAGATCTGAAAAATGTATCCGTCTTGCAGGTGAATATATTGAACTTTTTTCAAGATGATGTCGATTTTGTCAATCGTTTTTTCCTTAGCCAATATGATAATCTCAGTTATAACCTACCTCTGTTTCAAATTACTTGCAGATCCGTTCAGCTATACTGGCATAGTTGAATAACAAACACCCATCCACACAAATTTTTGTGATTATAGGTAATATTAATTATGTTTTTAACCAGAGGAAAAAAGTGTTTTAGACAAACATATACTTTTTATATCAACCTTATTCCTTTAATAAGTTTAATGATGTACAACTATTTATTAATGTACTTAGTGTTAAAATGTCGTTTAATCATTTAGTTAATCATTTTGGTGCTTTAGATAGCTGTTATTAATTACGTTACAATTGTCTTTTGAGGTCAATATTTGGCCACGGCCTGTGCACTGTGGCCGAAATATCAGTCGATTCGGAAGTACCCAGATGTATAATAATGTCATCTTCCTGCAAACCTTTTTTCAGACACGGTTTAGCTAGGTTGGGGTTGGTTTTCAGTCTAATACGAAACGGCTGAACTTCAATATTTTTACGTGAAGCGACTGCCTTCAGACCTCCACAACCTAATACCTAGACGATGTCGAAGTTCTGTAGATAGACTGTTGTGTGATTTTTTGGAGCCCAACTACTCGTAAGCAAAATTTTTAAGAGAATTTTAAGGAAAATTACTTATGACTTGGCAATCATTTTGCGGCAGAACAGCTTTGTGACTTGCGAGTTTTGGGTTATTTATATGTCATGTTTCTGATGGGATTACATTGTATAAAACTTTTTTGTTCACTGACGATTATTTTATTTATTTATTTAGGTCCTTCACAGCTGACAGTAAGTACATGTAGAAAATTTACAGAGTATTACGCCAATTACGAATTACACAATATAAAAGGTAAAATAAGTAAACAAAAGTGAACCCGTATTCATCAGTGCCTTCATGCATATGTATATATTATATGTATGAATTCGAATACGTTTCCTTTTGCGGATCGTGATCGGATTTTTTATATACATTACCTTGAAGAAATAAGGTACTGTTATTATTAATAGTTATGAATATTATTTGACTACATCTATAACGAGATCAAATCCTAAGTCTTAGTATTACAAAAACACAGAGACGTTACGGGTTGTTTCGCAGATGTGAAACGTCGCAATTATTTTGTAGAAATAATGCGTTACTCTGCGACTCTCTCACGCTAATTACCAAAGTGATATTATACTTTGATAAATCAGCAATTCGTCGCCGCACCAACATGTAACAGATGCTATCACATAGCGTGGCGATGAGTCGCCACTCCAATAGCCGGTCTGACCACTCGCATTCACATCAATAATAATAAAAAAACATGCACATTGCAAGTCAAAATATGTCATGTTATTTAGTGCTGCCCTCTACTGTTGTTTGAATGTTACGCGTATTCATATTAGCTGATCTAGACTCTTATAATACGTATTCGAATTCAAATCTGCGGATATACATTTAAATGTTTAAATACATTTAAATATTAATATTATATACATTTAAATATTTAAATGTAGTAAACAGCCAATAACTTGAGTGGTTGGATTGTTTGCCTTTGTCACAGTGTTATATTTGGAATTCAAGAACGATCAGTGTACGTTACAAGAATCATTATTAGGTCATTATACAACCAGTTTACAAACGTACTTATATTCCTTTTCCTCAACAGGGTAGTACTAGTAGGGTATATATAGGTACTTAAACAGTTAATTATTCTAAATTAATACATTGACTAAGACAAAAAAATCACACACATCACAACATCATCAACATATCCGGTGTACTTACATATATCGGAAAAATAAATAATTAATTTAAGTGGGTAGTCATTGTAGGTTGTAGGTTCATTTAATTCCCA